AGCCCACATTTGGCAGGATTTTTAAAAAACCATCATCACCATGTACTCGCAAAAGCTTTGCTGCTCCAGTTTGTGTGAAATCCATTTGCAAACGCCACTGGATGGATGTTTTTGTCACCTGTTAAATACAGCCTGGTGATCTGTCCCCTGTGGTGGCAGCAGGTAAGAACCTGCTTTTAATCAGCTGAATCATTTCTCACCCATCACCAAACAGAACCACCTGCGGTGCCGTCACAACCTTGATGTTTTTTCCACTTTTCTTTGACTGGGTGTCTTAGAAAGAAATATTGGCATCAAAAGCAGTTCATGGTAACACTTTATGGCTCTCTTTTGTGGTGTGGAATGGAGCTTTCTTTTGAGATGGCGACAGGAAACGACACAATAACGTCCACTAACATGCTAGGATAACTTCCTCGGAGAAATGAGACTAAAAAAAACTATTAAAAGGAATATAACGATATTGCTCTCACTGACATTAGGTCTCAGACATTGTTTTTCATGAAATTCCATATCAACAGTATGTTGTTAACTAACTCCAAAAAAGGTGGCATTTTAATTTGGCAATGGGTAAATTCAGTTTGGCCTCATATTTCCATTTTGCCACCATATTTGGTATAAAGCCACTCATGGAAACCTGACAACCCTGATCACAACGTTATGCTGAACTTACCTACGGCAAACGTGCGTCTACATTTAGATCGACTTACCTGTTAGCTAATTATACATAAAATGGCTAAAACAGATTCAGGTTGGTTCCTGACCGCCCCGTCCGAGCTGCCGGCGTGAGCGCCATGTGTTACCACCACAGCTGGCTAACGCTAGCCTGTAAACATTACAGCAAACTTCAACCCTCCTGTTCCACTTCTATCGTCTGGCTGGTTTCTTCACGACCGCGTATAAAACAGTTAAATACCTTTCAGTTGGTTGCTTTTGTTCCCAATAAAACAGTGTTGCGTTTATTCAGTGTTTTCACTCCGCGGCAGGATAAAGCCGCCGCCGTGTGTGGCACCGGAAGCAAAACGCACGCCCGGAGTACTTCCGCTTAGTTAAAAAAAATAAAAGTTTTCTGTCTATGCGAAATTTTACATTTTAAACAGTTTAATTCAAACGAATTTGAAAGGAAATTACTGTGGGATTTTAGACATACAACTGGAAAAATACACTACACAATTGAGTATTATGTTATTATCATATTATTTCATTGCTGAATTGAATTTTGAACGCGCGGGCCGCGATCAATGACGTCACGGCGGAGAGCCTCACCGAGCCATCAGGAAGTTTGCTGTTGCCATGGAAACGGCCACAATAGAACACAAGACGCGGGTGAATAGTGACCTTTGATGCAGCAAACAAAACATCTTCAATATTTAATTAAAACCCCCGTTGGAAGCCACCCTTTTTATTAAATAATTTTTAGCTAGCTAGAAGACTGTTCTGTAGACTGACTGTAATGACACATAACTATTGTTTTGTTGCAAGGGTATTAGTGTTAATGATTTATTACCCAATCCTGAACTACTGCGCCGTGTCATTGGCACAGCATCGTTGCGTTGGCATTTTCGGGAGTTAATCCATAGGCAAATTATCTTATTTCAATAGCAGTTTTCCTTTAATTTCACTGGAGCGAATGTAGCGGTTGGAGGGTTTTAATAGTGTAATATGCATGGCACTTTTTAGCCAATTAGCCACCTGTGTTACTTAATGAAAACATTAGTAATACAAAGCTTAAATATTTTAAAGTCTTTTTTACATTGAATACAAAGTGACAAGCAACGATGAAAGCAATGTTGCTAAGAATCCGCAGTGAAACACAGGTCTAGTTGACAACAGCTTCAGATGACTAGTCGTCCTCGATGTACTGCTCAGATTTGTGGTTCAGGTTAGTGTTTGTATATGAAGTCGTGCAAAGTAGCGCACATGGTAACGGAGAGTCGCAGAGACCTGAAACTGGCACCGTCCCTCAGGCTCGAGTTTAGCGTCTCATCCCCATAACAACCGACCCTTCCAGCTGCAACGCCAGGGGAGCGCATCCGCCTCTCTGCCGTTCCGTTTGTCTTAAACCAACTGGAACATTGCATGTATAGAGGGAAATATTATTTTTATTGTAATATATACATTTTCAAAATATAAATTTACCATTAATCTCGAAGACGTACATTATCGTGTAAATATAAGAAAACGTTTGTTTGGTGACACCCCTTTCTCACCCAGTCCACGGGTCTCAGTGCGGTCGATGTGTTGCGAACATCGAGGCGCCCCGACAATCCAGGTAAAGTATTTTCAACGTATTTTCTGTTTTCTTGCAGCACAGTTAACCTGTTTCATAGTGCATACATCTCCAGTGTTTCAGTTTCTTTGGGTTTACAGTGTGCTCTTAATCAAACCTGGGACCATAACGACACGTGCATTGTAAAAGCATGGCGGTTTGAATAGGACACCAATATTGTATCCAGGAAAGGTACACGCAGTGTGCAGCATGAAAACGACCTTTGGAAACATA